TATGTAAAGCACATGGGGATCAGACTGTGGGAAGTGAGAAGAATACGTATACAGTGTTGATCTATGTTTAGTATTATTATCATTTTCCCTCTTTCTTTTAAGGTGGGAGATACACCTGATAGGACTGGCGGCACGAAAAAATTCACCAAAAATTCATTTTTCAATATTTTCAATTACTTTAAAAAAAATTGCAGCTGAGATACCAAGCTTTAACATGAGAATAAGTGCTTTTGAATAAAACTTCAGAGAAGGTGGTAAAAATGCAAAACCATGAACAAGTTGAAATTTCACAATAAAAAAATAACATAATTGCGCGCATGATTCTGAACAAAATGTAGGAATTTCAAAACAACATAAACAAACTAAGTAAATGAGGTACCAATGCATCTCTTGTCTGTTTTAGATTTTCAATATACTTTTTTTTTAAAAATATATCAGCCCCAAAATGTCAGTTTTTTTCCCCTAAAAAATTCTGAGACATCAAGAGTGATGAAAATAAAAGTATGCAGAATATCAAAAATCTAAAACAGACAAAGGGTGGCAAAAACAATAAAAAAGAAATGCTGAAAATTTGAAGGAAATCGGTCAAGAAATTAGAGAGATATCATGCGCGCAGCCTCTAAAACTGCTGATTTTCGGAGAAAATCGACAACCAAAAATTTGCACTAACCTCGATAGCGCAGCTTTTATCATACTCTCATTTTGAATGTTATCTTACAGTACAGCTTCACCAAGACTGCTTTTTATTTTCTGATACGATGGCTTTGTCACTGGTGGAAGCAAGTTATAATGCCACAAAAAGTCTGCAGGGCAGTTCGGCCACATCCAATGTACCGCATTGCAAGAGCAATCCGTCTATTTATCGAGTGATTGATAAGTCCACTAGACCCACTTGACCACCTTTTAGCTGCCACAGAAGGGTCAGAAAAGAATGGCTCTGAAACTTCACACTTTCTGTTCTCACAAATGAAATGAAAGACACTCCCCAACCCACTTCGCTTTTCTTCAACGAGCCGCGCCGTACTATGACAATGTCGGCAGACAGGATTCGATTCTATTTGGTTTCGGAGAATGTCAAAGTCTATAAAATTCTATTATAACTATAACCAGAGTCATTTTCTAGATTTAGATCTAGATCTTCCCCCTCAGAATCAGAATTATCATTACTAGATCTAGATCTAGAGCAGTCTTGGTCACCGCTATAGAGGCCTTCTAACTTGATCTTTGATCTGCTGTAGGTTGGAGTGGTTAGGGCATAATTTCTATTTTGATCTGGAGTCTCTAGTACGTTGTTGCTAGAACTACTAATCGAGTCAGACCCATTTGATCTGGACACATCTTCTAACCCCACTTCAGATAACCTTTTTTTTTCTAAGCAAACTGATTGTTACTTTTGAAGAGGCCTTTCATATATATCCTCTCTTCTTAGGTCTGGTTCCACTGGGCCTAGGCATTTTCAACTTCACCAGAACTCAAGGCAAGACACTTAAGTACGGCTAAACTGCCAGTCTAGCCGTACTTAGATCTAGGTTTGGCCCAAGGTCTCATTAGATCTAGATCTAGTAATTATTCAGGTTCAAATACATGCAAGTCAGTAAGGCACCTTTTGGTTTTGTCTGAAATACAAATACTTTAAGCACTGCAAACTAAAAATTTCATTTACAATTCAACCATCAATATTAAGTACGGCTAGCCTGCCAACCTAGCCATACTTATCTTAGGCCCTATATAATATAACATTATAGAAAACAGGAGGTTTAAAATACATGCACTGTCATTAAGGTACCTGGTTTCATCTCAAATACAAATACTACTTTAGGTACTGCACACAAAAATGTATATTTACAATTCAGTAGGCCTAATTTTTGTAAATGCTCAGTCTAGCCATCATATTAAGAATAAGTACGGCTACACTGCGAGTCTAGTCGTACTTAAGTACTTAAGTCATTAAGTACGGCTAGCCTCTTCCTTCTCACTTTGTTCTCACGGTTTCAAGTGTTTCGTTTCGTTTCGCTTCCCAATGTTTACAATGTTGAATTTCAGCAGAGAGTATTTAAATATATTTTAGTGTCTCTGATTTCAGCCTTGAAAGGGAGTAGTTCATTATTTTGAACAATTTTTGACAATGCAAATAGCGCACCTTTCCCATACAAAATCAAAACAAACTCGTTGCTAGGGTAAACAGAGTAAAAATCACATCAACTGCTTACACCTAGGTTCAGAAAAACATTTGTAAAATAAAACTATTTAACAGATTCTGAAAATTTAAAAACCAAAGTAAACTAGAATAATAGCCGCTCCCCAATAACTAGAAATGAACCACTAATTCGTGATTCGGTAATTTCGCATTTTATCAGGTGTATCTCCCTCCACATAATAATACATGGACACACAAGCTTCGTATATAATCAGAACACCGAGTATTCGCTGTCATAAAGCTGTCATTTTAAAAATGGATTGTCCGTTTTTCCTCTTTCCTTCAAACAAAATTATACATGGACGCGCAAATTTCGTACATTATCAAAAGACCGAGTATTCGCTGTCATAAAGTTGTTACTTTGCGAGTGGTCTTATTTTCATTTCACTGAAGGCGGCAGAGTTGTCCCACCCTGTTAAACTGACCCAAAACACTCCCTTGGCGTACTCCTCTGAGGCCCACGCCCCGTTGAGGTTCACGTACGCGCAAGTGTTGTACCACCAAGCTCCGTGACGTATACTAGCACAGTTGTTAGGACTGTTTTGATCGTTGTCACGGTCCTTCGTACTGAACGCCTGGCCATTGTGATAATTCATTTGGTCCCCTGCATTACCTGAATATCCGGAGATCTTAATTTTGTAATTCTCGGATTCTCCAAGCAGCAAAAAGTTTTTGTAAATGGCGTAGTAGTTTGTCCCCTTGTACGTAAAGTCAAACCGCAACTCGTACCTCTCCTGATGATGAGAACAAGAGGAAAACTGAAACAGCTGTCGTATATATACGTCATGCAGATAGATACGCGAGATCTCAACATACACACAAACCCCGACTGTTTTATCTCAAATGGAGATGGGCTGGACTTCATATCAATTTTACAGGTTCAAATTTGAGCTTAGGGGCCCATAATTGTTGAGGAAAAAATCTGATTTAGTTAAGGCAAACTAATACAAACTGCTGTGCAAATCATGGCGGGTGACATTGATTCAACCGTTAAAGGGATAAGTTGCGCCACAAATTTTTGTCCTCACAATACGTACCACCACTAGATCAACTTTCCTTACAAGGGTGGATTAATGCAACTTTCAAATACTATTATGGTAAGGTATCAAGGTAAAGAGGCTCCGATTTTACGTCCATCTCCGATATAATAGAGTCATGAGGGTGGACGTATGCTGCGACTACTACCTTTCAATAAAAAAAGAGTGACACTCATATTGAGGATAATAAACGGAACTAATACAACGAGCAGCCATGTCTGCAGCGACAAGAACATCAGCATGGACAACAGCAGCGGCGCTCAGTGCTGTCACATAAGATTAGATTGATAATGAAAATAATTGTTATGTTCTGA